ATAGCGCGCGATGACGATGTTAATCAATTGCGTACCTACCAGCGCGAGAACTCCAAGTAAGCATGCCCAACCAAGCATCCGCCAAATGAGAAGCGTCGCGAGGACAGCTCCAGCAGGCTTGGTGATGATATCAGGGAATTCCCAAAATCGTTGGGACACTTCGTAAACGTCATTACTAGACACTAATCAGCTCGTGCGGTGCATTTTAGTTGCTTGAACATACCGCATCAAGTTTAATATCTTGCCCATCGAAGCGGGTTCCTTTTCTTTCTTGCCCTCCGTTTTTGCTTTCTTCAAGAACGGCGAACGTAGACTTGCAAGCAGCTTGTGAATATAGAGCTTGGGAGATGTTTTCGGTTGCCCGTTCATTGCTTGGTCCGACTGTCCATTCGCATTTCCATTAACAGTTTCTTCTTCTTTCAACTCTTGCTTAGCACCTAGAATCTTTCTGTTCAGTGTCTTCTCATACAACATGGTTATCAGCTCGCCTCTTGATCGCTCGTATGCTCTCCGTTGATACCACAAGTTGAAGACATTGCACTGCGCTGATATCAAGCGAAACATGAGTGAGACGACGGCATACGTGATAGCGGCGCTATGTGGAGAGTTCGGGTCCTTCATAGAGCCAAGCAAGCGCTGCAGTAACACTGGCGTTACAAGTGCTGTCGGGGTTAGTAATCTATCAGTTCCAAGAGAAGTTTAGATACGTACTTGAGGCAAGCTGAGTCAACGCCAGGAGAGTAGTACGAACTAGATCCATCCCGTTCGCCTGAAGCAATCTCCTCGTCACGGAGCCTTGGAGTATTCGGAATTTGCTATGGAGCCTCGAGTGCTTGAACTCCCAACCCAGATCCCAGACATCTTCATCATCTAACTGAGTGGTCACTCCTTTCTTGATCAAGGGAGTCATCCACGAAACAGTCATGTATTGCCAAGGGGTTAGGTTGTCTTCAGGGGTGCGCAGTTTTCCCGTTGGAGTGGTGAAAACTGGACTGATATCCTCATCCGGCAGGTTTGGGTCACGAAGAGGCATGTTCAAGATCATGAATATCCCCCAAAGAGCTGCAACAGGTGCTAGCACCAAGGGCATATCTTTGGCGGCCAGTGAAGCTTGACTATGGGACAGTACAACCATTTGTGCTAACAAAAGCCCTGCAAATAGCGCCAACAGTGGTATTGGTGCTTTTCTTGGGCGTTCAACCACAATTACGGCAACTGCGATGCCCTATCAATAAGTGTTAGAAAGAACTTGATTCCGAGGAGAAAACATACCCATGCCAACGAAGGATAGATAGCCGCGAGTTGCTGATAGGGAAAAAATATAGTAATAATCTGCAGTGTAAGACCAACAGCCGATACAGTCAGTAAACCATATGTCGCTGACAGTCCACGCTGGAGGGGCCATTCGTCAGCTTCGTCCGGAGCTTCTTTCGTCTCTTTGATAAAAGGCATCGTCCATCTTGGGCGATAGGCATTGAACAGGCGTAACGAGTATGCGAAGAGTATCAATGCGCCTATAATAACTGGAACCGTTGAGACAAAGGGCAGAAAGCAAGGCGTGAAGCGTGCTGTCCTTGTGTCCTTCACGTAATTAGCGTTGCTTTCCTATAGAGGTAGATAAATTACCCATATTCCATGGCACTGAGACACAGGAGGCATGTCCTGAGATGGGGCCCGCATATTGCTAGACATTGGAACCTGGAAGAACGCCATCGTTCGCTGCCCGTAACCGGGTGGCGTCCACCAACTTATTTAAAAAAGCTTCCTTCCACCAGAGCCCCTGCCGCGTGACTTTGGATCCGAGGCTCGATATCATGTAGGGCTGACTGCAAAATCTTCTTAGCTAGGCATCAGTGTGAGAGCCTGTGGTCTGCGGAAGAAGAGTAAGAGTCGGTGAGTTCGCCGGTGAGTCCGGCGAAGAAAGGCCGCCAACCCAATTTGGTATAGTGCAGTTTCATTGAATGCCAAACCACGATGAGAAAATTACCTCAGAGTCATCACACAAACACTGCAACCATCGTGTGTGCTCCTTGTTTCTTTGTCTGTCTCTCATAACATCCCCTGTCACTTGGCTGGCAAGTTGATGATGAGTCGAAATGGCTGCCTGCGACCCTACGTCAGGCGCCTTCCTGTACAGGCAACATCCGAAAGCGAGATCAATACACCAGGCGAATCCACTCTTTCCCCAACTACCTAGACGTCGATGAAATCTACCAGTCCCCTTTGTCGACCACGAGGCCGGCTTCGGTCCGCAGTCCCATGTTATCGAGAAATGGAGTATTCCCAGTCAGTGTCACGACAGGACCAAGGTCATCCTTCCTACACAAGCTCTATGCATCAAAAATTACTAAGATACATACAGATACCGTAGTGTTTTCGTTGCTCGTCCCTAGATCGGCCGGGCGCTTATGGCTAAATGCCCGGACATTCTACCTTGCTAAATGCGAATCTACATTCTACACCAGGGCGATAGGAACGCTATGGACCACCTATGAACGACAACCAAAGAGCGGGTAATGATACCCCGCCGGAAACCTTCTAGCGTAAGGCCACATCAGAACTCTTGAGAAAACAGATTTCTTCTCTATTTTGCTCGTATTAATCATAGTGAGCGACTAGTGCCATACGTTGAATGACAACGCTCGATCTCCTCTGCTGGTTCTTTGCGAGCTTCTTTTCGCGTTCTTCACGAACAACCACCACAAACTAACGCAACAGATACTCCTTCTTGTGTTCTTGTATAGTATGTTCAGAGCTTTCGCTGTATACTGGCTTTGACAGCACGTTACAAGTCCATCGTCCATGTCGGTTCACACTCATGCGCTATGTGAATAGGAGATAGGACGATCTGAAATTTATATACCAAAGGGGAGAGACCTTCGCCTGTGGCATCCTTCCACGCCGTCCTGCAACGAAAGATTGGCATGTAGGACGCCGGAGCCCGCGAAACTACGCAGTCCGAGCCGGCTTTCTCGTGTGGAAAGTTGATCGATATTTGTCCAGATCTGATTGAAATAAGAACGAGCGCTCAAGCTGTAGTACTTCTTGGCTTGCCGTGTCAAAAAGGTATAACCCGGCGCGCCATCGATATACCCTCTCTATAAACCGTTCTCTGAATCGATATGTTTGTTAGGAATCATCAACTATGAGTATGAAGATCATACCATGCACGTATTGCTATAAACAGAAGCGCTACCGATAGCAGTGTCCGATGTATTCATGGATGTCTCAAGTACAGGCGCAGAGACTTTTGCGGAAGCCTAGAACATGGTATTAAGTGGCGCATTGGTTTGTGTGTGGAGAGTCGCTCGGTTCAAGCGTTCGAGTGGGGTCGGAAGAGCGATTGGGAAGGTGAACTTATGCGCTGGTGCGGCACAGCAGTCAACTGACTCCAGCACCGCCCTGTGGTCGACCGCAGCCTCGTCTCATCTATCAGAGGAAGTCCGAAGCCACCATGGTATATGTGGAGTGTTCTTTCGAAAGGATGAGTACTTTAAAACTCGGTGTCCGAGGGTATAGGGTCACATACCACTATTCGACTTCTCCAACTTCGAAGCGCTGCGAGTCCATCCATCTATCAGCCCGCAATGAGCTTGACCCCATTGTTAGAGGAGTCGATGCGAGAACTCCCAGGACGATTTCCTTTATATGCACCTTCAGTCACTTCGATTACGGATCGAGCTGTACGCGAACTTAGACCGCGGACACCAAGACTTACGGCAATTGGAACCGGCCCCTCTCAGGGTGATTTTACCGCCCCTGCATCCGCATGCCGAAGACCTCGCTTTTCAGGAGCCCAGAGTGACTTATTGCCCCAACGACGCCGACGACAGAGATCACTGCCTGACCGACAAGCGGATCCGTACTACACACCAACAGGTTCTCGACCTTTTGAAACTAGACGAGCAGTCTCCGATACACGCTACAACTCGAACAGGCGTGATCTTCCCGCAGACCATGGGAGCCCCATCCGAATAATACGGCGAAAATGCCAGCTCCCGTCCAGGTACACGAACCAACCTGAGAATGATCAAGGGTTGGACTCAGATGCATCTCCACCCCCATCCCCTGTATCCGCCCAACGAGTCCACAACGAGCTCCGCACCTGTCTAACCAAAGACCTCACGCCCGACTCGCGAGCAGGCGTCGTCTACATCCTACGCGCCGAGAACTCCCGTCTCCTCAAGATCGGCTCAACCATGAACTTCAAGCGGCGCCTGCAAGAGCTCCAACGCGATTACGGGCGCAAACTGGAAACCGTGCTCGTCTCCGAATTCCTCGAAAACTACGCGCGAGTCGAGAAACTCGCGCAAGCCGATCTTTGGCATCTCTGCAGGCCGTTTAAGTGCCCGTGCGCGACTGAGCATAGAGAGTGGCACGAAGTAGACGAGACTGTGGCGATCAACACGGTGCAGAGATGGGTGGACTTCATGCGGGAGCAGCAGCCTTACGATGAGACCTCGGGGAAGCTGAAGCACATATGGAAGCATCTGCTTTCAAAGAGCCGGTTGGCGACGACGCGGGATCATGAAGTGCGCTGGGAACAGTGGGCCCGCATTGTTGATTGTCCCACCCGTGTCGAGCATCTGAAGTACCGAGTAGAGTGGTTAAGGCGACATGGAATCTGGATGCATGCCTGGGTATATGTGTGGCAGGTGTTTTGCGTGCTCTTGTGCACGTTGGTGTTCTTGCTGCTTAGGAGTCCGTCCGTCTTTTTTCTGCTTGTGACAACCACAGCGTGTGCGTATTGGAGCATGGTAGGTGACAAGAGAATAAGTAGATGAGTTTAGTGCAACAGAAATTAGATTATATTTAGAGTTACTACATTATTTTTACCCTAAATTCACGATGCAAATGGCGGTGCTTCTACAAGTAGAGTTTGCGCATCTCTAATCGTCCACGTAGCCCAAAAAAAATATAAAAAGTATCTACCCAATCACTCAATCATTCTCTCGCAATCACAAACGTTACAAACAAACTGCAAAAATATTATCTTCAACTGACCCCATTGTGATTTGAACACAAAACCTTCGGGTAAATCCGAGATCTCTGGAATCCGACGCGCTACCATTGCGCCATAGGGCCTGTGGTGATTTGATGGAAGTTTGCTCACGTTATTAATATATAACCATAAGTAAAACGACTCTGTGTGAAGTGAAAGAGTTTTCCTTAGTCTGTGAATTGGGCCGGTGAAGCTTTTGTGTGTGTGGGGTAATGAGTCATATTCTCGCCTAAAAATAGCTCTATCTTGTTGGAGGGGTATCCATGGCCGCGCTAGATGAACCACTTCGGGTTGATCACGGAGTGTCTTTTGCTGATACATGATTTGAAGGTACACATTTGGTATGGTTTGCTATGTAAAATGGATAATACACCAGCTTGCTAGAATCTGTTGATCTCTAGGCATTGTGGATGTAACGTGCAAACCAAAAGCTATCGAATCAGATGTAGCTACATGGCAATTTCCCAATGACTCTATCAACAATCTCCAACTCAGAATCCGTAAAGAGAGACCTAATCCGCTGATTTTGAATATCTCACGAAGCTGTGCTCTTCGTGGTTGTTGGAGGTTCCGCTTAGCACACAACCTCGGCTCAAGAAACGAATCCGGCAGGTCCCGGTTTCGGTCTTTCCGGAAGAGACGGATGACGCCCTGCATCCTAAAGTTGGTGACTTCCTCATACATACACAGGTGCATCCATCTATCGCATCCATTCTTCACAGGCCTGCATGCAATCAGCTATCGGGCGCCGTATCGCATACTCGACTAGGACGTTGATGGTCGCCGAGTCCCGAACCCGGGTGAGACGAAACGGACTTCTGGACGGCTGAAACGTCTACAGAGTGAGCGTTTGGAGTTACGCCATCGCACTGGTAATCATAGCACGCGACACAGCCATTCTTGGAGCATATATATTCTCGAGACGGTTCCTGCCGGTGGGGTTGTGGGCCTTTGCGTCATTCGATCACCGGGGATCGGCTCTGCCCAAGTGAAGCCTTGTCGATTATTTGAGATATACGCGACTAAAGAGCCTTTACGAAGAAGACCGTTGTTGTCAAGAACAGAGTTTATCGGGGGAAGAGTTCGGGGTCAGGACAAAAACCTGCTGAGAAAAGAGTCTATCTCGGTGGACAACGCCTAAGTTACGCCTCATCGCCATGCCGCAGTTCTTCGAACTCCCTCGGGAGATTCGTGACATGATCTATACAACAATTCTCACCGCAGAACAGCCCACCCCATCCCTAGAGAAGGGCCAGTGGCGGTTCAAATTCAGGGCTGAATTAGGACGAGAGTTGCTTCACAACGGCGAATATGGGTGCGCATACTCGATCGAGCAGACACCTACCACGTGTACGAATGTTCTCCGATGCAATCAGCAGGTCCATGCGGAGATGACAGCGGCAATTGAACGAGCGAGGAGAAAGGAAATGGTAGCCGTCAAGCTGGATTGCATTGCCGAGGACGAGAGCTTCCACTACTTTACGTGGCTAGCGATGCCACTTGTGAAGACGAGCTGGAACATGCAGAAGATCAAGTCGAGGATCATGCCGGGCTGGGCAGGCTTGCTGGTGGGGAACTATCTCCCGTGTTCGCACCGCAGTGGCCTAGTATATCGAAGCCCATCAACCGCCATCCATCAGTTTTGGATAGACGTCCGGCCCGTGGGCAATCGATTGAAGAAGATGTTCACGAATGGTACTCAGCCCGAGCGGACATCATGGGCCGTCTGCGCCGCTCTCAAGCGCATCCTCGACAAAGGGCCACACTTCTCTAGCAAGCAAGCCACGAAGAATGAGATCACCATCGACGAGCTCGTGCTCAACGTGGTGACTCCGCCCAATGTCCCACCAGTGAAATTCCTCGACCAGGACTTTGCGATGGATGAAGTCAAGGATGGAGTGGTACACCCTCACACCGTTGCCAAGGAACTCATCGATGTCTGGTCGAAAATATGGACCGGTCACAGCTACAAAGGCATATTTTACCAGATCCTGCTGCAACGGATTAAACGAGTACGGGTGTGTGTCAATGGAGAGACGCGGGGAGTTCGTGAGCTAAGGCGCGAACTGGAAAGAGGGCAGGAGGAGAGGCGGCGAATTGCTGCGAGAGTGGGCGGGTGATGCCTACATTGGCTGGGGTGCTTATCACGCGATTATGGAAGCCCCACAAGCGCATTCAAGAAGCCCATCCATAGTTCACCGGTGGCCATGTGGGTGTTATCTCGTCAGCCAGACGCTATTCTTGGCTTCACGGTCTGCGGCTAGCGTTATATATGTCCAGCTGGCAGTGCCTAGTGACTTGACGGGGAGTTTACCGTTAGCGAGGCCGGCAATTTCGCAAAGGCCGCGGTCAGCCATGGCGGAGTCGTTGGTGCTCTCGCCACTCAACGGCTGATTGGCAGGCGTGCCAGAGTCAGGGGTATGTCTAACGGCACGGCCGCGGTACGGCACGCATAGAGGCCGGCTTCATTTCAAGCGCACCGCTTCAACAACCCCATCGTCCGCCGTCGCTCGATACATACATATCAACGTGCGGGGCTATACAGCAGCAGCGCCATCACCATCTCCCGCGATAAGCCGCAACGGCGACTATCGATAACGAGGTGCAGACGCTCTGCCCCGGATCGAGTCAATGGGCTCGTGGGGGCTAAAAATGGACGGTTGCCGCTCCCTGCCCGGCTGGCTGACCAACGCCAACGCCCATTTTCTGCTCATTTTCCGCTCCTGCGGCGTGCAGGCCGGGCCTTGGCTGAGGAAGATGTTTGCTTGAAACACGTCTCCGCGTCGCGCCCTTGCTGGTGCTGCCGCCTCGCTATTCGTCGCAGCGAGCGCCTCGCGCGCCCTCATTGGCTGCCTGCGCGGTCGCCTCAGGGGCAGCGAGACGCAGGGGCCGCTTGTCGTACACCGTTGCGCCAGCCCGACTGCACGTCTGTCTGACACCCCGGGGCTGCCGGGCTCATTTTCTGCTTCTCCATCTTTCTGTCGCTCCTTGCCCGCTATAACTACCTTCGCTGCCCGTTCCCTTGACCTGTCTGGCCTTTTTGCAGTCTCTGCGTCCCCTCCTTTGCCACGGCTCGCCCTCTCAAGAGACAATCCCCCCCAGCGAGTACAGGTCCTCAGACCCGCTCTAATTCCGAACCACCAAACAGCCACTGCTGGACAGTACTCACAGCTTAATTATTACACTCCAGCCCGGGAAACGTGTCCTCGCCGATCACCATGACCTCTTCCATCTCCACCAAGTCTCTCAAGCCTCATGACATCGACGTCCCTTCCACCAGCGGAGGCCCGCCGGATTTTGGCGGGCCCATGTCACCGCGGTCGTGGAAGAACGGGCCGTACACTCGACAGGCCCCGTCACGGAAGCCAACGAACGCCAGCGTGGACCTGGACGATTACTTTGTGCGTCTCGCTGAATCTTCTCCCAATGCTGCATAGACTAATGGCTTTCTCAGGTCGGGCCTCGCGACATGTCGAAGCACTCCAAATGGCCTTTCTTCCTCCGCATGCACGGGTCCGTGCTCCCCAAGATGCTTCTGCCATTGCTCGTAGTTGCCGCCTGGTCGACCCTCATTACCTGCGTTTCTGAATTCTACTATGCTCTCAAAGTCAAAAGCATCTTGCTTACAGTTCTCGGTTTCGTCGTCGGTCTTGCCATCTCCTTCCGCACCTCGTCCGCCTATGAACGCTACACCGAGGGCCGCCGGTACTGGTCACAGTTGCTCTTTGTAAGCCAGAACTTGTCTAGGACTATTTGGCTCCATGCCAACGAGCGTGAAGGCGACCTCGGCAAGGAGGACCTGCTTCAGAAGCTGTGAGCATAATCCCAGCGTTTTCCTTCTGATGTACCCACTAATGCTTTAACAGCTCTGCTTTGAACCTGATTGTGGCCTACGCGGTGGCTGTCAAGCACAAGCTCCGCTTCGAGCCTGGTATCGATTACCCTGATCTCAAAGAGCGCATCGAGTATCTCGATACGTTTGCAAAAGCCGCTGAAGCCGATATCCCGAAGGCGCACGAATACGGCAAGATGAAGGAGCTGGGCGAGTACCTCGGAGTTACCTTCGCTGAATCTAACCCCCGCAAGAGGATCAAGCGCTCCAAGAAGCCCCTCGGCAACCTTCCCCTTGAGATTCTGAACCACATCTCTTCGTACGTACACAGCATCTGCGACAACAAGACTATGGATATCGGTCTCTACCAGAATCAAGCCAGTGAGTTGCTCAATCTCTAGTCTCAACTCGAGAACCCTGAAACTAACAACCCCCCAGTCAACAGCGTCGTAGCCCTCAACGAAGTCCTCGTCGGTGTCGAACGTGTCCTCCACACCCCCCTTCCCGTTGCCTACTCCATCGCCATCTCACAGATAACCTGGGTCTACGTCATGATGTTGCCGTTCCAGATGTGGGAGGACCTCCGGTGGGTCACTATCCCCGGGTGCATATTCGCCGCCTACATCATCCTCGGCATCGCCGCCATTGGTCGCGAAATCGAAAACCCCTTCGGCATGGACGTCAACGACCTGCCCCTCGAAGCCTACTGCGAGGAACTCGAAATGGACATCGACGTCATCACCGCAACGCCGAGACCCATGCCCATGCAGTTCATGCGCAAGCCCGGCAACATGCCCATCTGGCCGCTCAGCCAGAAGAGCTTCGAGGGCTGGCTGCGCCGCGACAAGCACGATGTCAGGGACGCGCTCATGACGAAGACGAAGGCGGATATGCAGGTGCGACGCAGCATGAATCCCCCGCGGGAGAACCTCGAACCTGAGAAGAACAGCGGGGTGGCGCAGCCGTTCGACCAGGATGAGGCTACGCTCGCGGCGCCAAACACGAGTATAGATACGACTCGCGGTACGGCTACGGGGAACGCCGCAAGTAAGGGTACGATGTCGGTGGGCGTCATGTCGGGATAAACCAGAGGCGCAAACCTTTGTCCCTCGCCCTCCGTCCGTCCCTTTTCCCATTTTCACATTCTCACAAAGCCCGCAAAATTGGAACGCCGGTATGGTTTCATCCTACCTTTCTCTGTCTTTGGTTTGGTTTGGCGCGGTGTTCCGGAGTACCCTACCTGCGCGCTTC